ATGACTTAGTGTCACCTGTGCCTTTCTGTGAAGGTTGTGTTTTAGGCAAACAACATAGGGTTCAGTTTCCTGTGTCTAGCTATCCTAGTGAGCCTAAGTCTAAGTCTGCTCTTGACTACATACATGCAGATGTATGGGGTCCTTCCAGTGTTCCTACCCATGGGGGAAGGAAGTATTTTCTGTCTGTAATTGATGACTTCTCTAGAAAAGTTTGGGTCTTCCTGTTAGAGCACAAATCTGATGTGTTTGTCAAGTTTAGAGATTGGAAAATCTTGATTGAGAACCAAACTGGCTATAGGATTAAGACTCTTAGGACTGACAATGGCTTAGAGTTCTGTAACCATGACATGGATAGGTTCTGTGCTGATCATGGGATTAGGAGACACAAAACTGTGCCCTACACTCCCCAGCAAAATGGTCTGGCAGAAAGAATGAATAGGACCCTCCTAGACAAGGTCAGAAGCATGCTTGCTACTTCTGGCCTTCCCAAGAAGTTTTGGGGTGAGGCTGTTATTGCTGCAGCCTATTTGATAAATAGATCACCTTCAGTTCCTTTAGAGGGTAAGTGTCCTGAGTATGTCTTCTCTAAGAAACCTCTTGACCTGTCTAACCTGAGAGTGTTTGGGTGTGCTGCCTTTGTGCATCAGCAGTCTGATAAACTTGACCCTAGATCCAAGAAATGTGTCTTCTTAGGATATCCTGAAGGTGTGAAGGGCTATAGAGTTTGGGATAGGAACCAGCCAGGATTTAAGGTCATTATTAGTAGAAATGTGGTGTTCAATGAATGTGATTTTCCTTGCCTTGTGAAATCTGTGACTGACCCTGAATCTGGACCCAATGGCACCCCTCAAAGTGAGGTGGAGCCTATCCTACCTGCTGTCACCCCCCTGCTTACTGATTCTGAATCTGCTGATAACCCTGACTCTACCAGAATTATGCATGATACCTCCACCACCTCCAGCGAGGTGGAGCAGAACACTGATCCTCATGATAATGGTGAGAATATGCATGAAGCTTTAACTGAGAATGAGTCTGCTGAGAATAGTCAAGGTACTGATGATCAAAGTCTAGAAGGTTATCAGTTGGCTAGGGATAGGGTTAGGAGAAACATAAGGAAGATTTCTGATAGTATGACTGATTTTACTTTTCACTTACATGATACCTCCTTATTTGCTTTTTTTGTGTTTGAAGCCCTTGACCTGAATGAGCCAAAGACCTATAGGGAAGCCCTAGCTTCTAGAGAATCTAGAAAATGGCTGAGTGCTATGCAAAGTGAAGTTGACTCTCTGAATCTGAATAGAACCTGGACCTTAGTTCCCAGACCCTCAAACTGTTCAGTTGTTGAATGCAAATGGCTGTTCAAAGTTAAAGAGGAACCCAATGACATTAGGTTTAAGGCTAGGTTAGTTGCTAAGGGCTTTACCCAAAAGGAAGGTGTTGACTATGCTGAAATATTTGCCCCAGTAGTTAAGTTTACCACCATTAGGATGATGCTTGCCCTTGTTGCCTATAACAATTGGGAGATGAAGCAGATGGATGTTACTACTGCCTTTCTGCATGGTGACCTTGATAAACAGATTTACATGACCCAACCTGAGGGTTTTATTGACCAAAAGCACCCCAATCATGTCTGTTTACTGAAGAAGGCCCTCTATGGGCTGAAACAGTCTCCCAGACAGTGGAACATAAAGTTTGACCAATGCATGACTACTTTAAAGTTTAAAAAGTCTGAATCTGACCACTGCCTGTATTTTAAGAATGCTGTTTCTGAACCTGTATTCCTGTTGATTTATGTTGATGATATGCTGCTCATTAGCCCTTCTTTAAATGCTATAATGTCTGTTCAGAAATGTCTTAGTGAGAACTTTGCCATGAAAGACCTAGGAGATGCTAAGAGAATCTTAGGGATTAATATTGTTAGGGATAGAGGTAACCGTACCCTGACCCTACATCAAACCTCCTACCTTGAGAAGGTCTTGAAAAAATTTAATTTGGACTCTGCCCAGCCTGTAGATGTTCCTTTAGCTCCCCATTTTGTGCTTAGCAAAGAACAGTCTCCAAAGACTGCTTCTGAGATTGAGAAAATGAAATCGGTACCCTATTCCAGTGCTATAGGGTCAGTTATGTATCTCATGGTAAGCACTAGACCTGACATCGCCTATGCTGTTAGTTGCTTAAGTAGATATATGGCAAACCCTGGTATGCCTCACTGGACTGCCCTTAAATGGCTGCTTAGATACCTTAGGGGTACTTCCTCTCATGGCCTTGTTTTCTCTAAAACTGCCTCTGGTATTTTGCTTACTGGATATGTGGATTCCAATTATGCTAATGATAGGGACAATAGGAAGTCAACTACTTCCTATATTTTCACCCTTTGTGGGTCCTGCATAAGTTGGAAGTCCCAACTGCAACCCATTGTTGCTCTGTCTACAACTGAATCTGAATACGTTGCAGCCACTGAAGCCTTTAAAGAGGCCATTTGGCTGAAACGCTTACTAACTGAAATTGGTTTTCTTAAGCAGGTTGTAACAGTTTATTCAGATAGCCAGTCTGCTATCCAGTTGTGCAAAAACCCAGTCTTCCATGACAGGACTAAGCACATAGATGTCAGATTTCATTTCATAAGGAACATTGTTGATGCAGGTGATATCAAGCTGTGCAAGATTGCCTCTGAGTACAATCCAGCTGATATGGGGACTAAATGTCTCAATCTTGAAAAACTTTTATCTTGTAAACGCATTCTGAATTTAGACTGTGGCTAGATGTAATACAGGTACAGGATAACCGGCGATGATGATACTCCATTCATGTTATGCTCTACGCCACCAGGATGACCAATAAGGTGGAGATTGTGAGTTGGTATTCGTCCTCCTCTTTAGCCCATTTACCCGGTTCCCTGTTTAATGAGTTGGTTTCTCATTAAAGCCCAAGTGGGCCGTCTGGGTGTCTGGCCCATCCGCCCCTCCTTTGTGCTCATTTAACCCAGCCCGTTGAACCCCTTTATCTGGCTTGTCCTAGACCCTTCTGGAACTACCTATTTATACTCTCTTCCTTCCTCTCTTCTGAGAGAGTTGCTGTGTGTGTTGCCCTAACCCTAGAGTGAGAGAGAGTTCGGTGTATTGCCTTGGTCTGAGCTCCGGCTTACCTCCGGTGATACCTCGGTGTCCTGTTTGGGGCTTCACTCTGGGTTAGTCCTTTGGGGTTTTCTTCTCCGGTGCGTTCCTGGGTGGTCCTGTCACGGGTTGGGGGTTTGGGCTCCGATAAACTGAGTGTTTGTGACTTGATGCCCTTGCTTCTCCCTTGTGGTCTCCTCTGGTGGTGAATGGTGAGCAAGCCTATGGGATAAGGTGACTGAGGTCTGAGCCGGTCCAGAATCACAACATCTATCATTGTTTGGTTCATGTTAGTCGACCTTAAAATTTTTTGAGATTAAATCTTGGATGTTGTTATTGTTGTTCCTCTTGCGGATAAGGTCCCCCCAAAGTATCTTTTTACCTTTTGCTTTTGCATTCATGTATATTCAAAGAGGTATGCATCTTTAGGAGAGATTTTGGTTTAGTCCCCTCTCCTCTTATATCCTTTTTTTGAAAGGATATCCTTTCTTGTTTTAATAAAATTTGACAAACATTTTCTGACTTTTGCCCCACTGATGGGTGGTTTACCTACCAGGATAAAAAAATAAAAAAAATAATAGCTACATATTAATGATTAGGGTTTTAGGGCAATAAAATGTACACATAATGTTATACATGTATAGTACTCCGTAACACATAAAGCTGGATTAATAACATACTAGTATAATTGATCCGATCATATCAAATTTGCTTATAATCAATCATCAATCAATTACATAATATCAACAGAAGCGCACCATATATCATAATACATAGGAAAAATTGAAATTAATAATCTCAACTATTGACAGTCCGCTGATAATAATCTCAACTATTGATTATTTTTGTATAATCCCAACTATATGGACAGTCCGCCAATAATGGTCCATGACCAAATATTACACGCTTAAAAAGTGAATTTTAAATAGAAATCAAGTTTAAAAATTAAAAGTTGGGATTACTTATAGAGATTACTTGTTATATCACTCCTCATCCACTTTAGAAACTACAAGAATTTATTTAAAGTGACCATTATTGGCGGAAGGTCCCTAAAGTTGGGATTTTTCTGAAATAATCGATAGTTGGGATTATTATAAGCGGACTGACCATAGTTGGGATTATTACTATCAATTTTTCCTAATATATAAGACCTAAATGAACACAATCCCTCCATCCCTTAAGATTTTGCCAAGTTTGACCGGAGAGTAAAAACTAAAATATGTACAATTAGATTTTTGCAGAGAAGAGAGAAATAACATGAATCACAAATTAATTGATTAAATAAAAAATCGACAAAGTTTTTGGGACATCCCAAAAAGAAAATATGGTAAAGTTTTAAGCGACGGAGGGTATATTATATTACGCGTAATAATAACAGTCTATTCCTTTTAATTCTAACATGGCTTAACCAGATTATAATGTTTTTACTTGGACTTATTTTTAATCTCAGATAAGACCATTCAAGACTTAAATATAACGATCAGAACAGACTTCAACGAATCAGACCTGACTTATCAACCAACTTTTTCACCAAACACGTAATTTTTTGCTTTCGCGCGCTGAATTGTGTAATAAGCAGAAAAGTAAGGTTGAAGTTACTTTTCTGGCTGTATTGGCTGAAGTTACTGTAGATGACCATTCTAGCTATTTTTACATACGTAGTATAATTTTGTCTTTATTTTATTAATAAAATACGTAGCATATTTTAAATTTTTTTTTCTTAAATCATCAGAATCAGATAATACAATCACTTCAGTCAGAACTTCATAAGATTCAACAAAATAAACCAAATCAACGGATTTTCACGCTACCAAACGAACTCATAGACGAGATATCCATCACACTAGACCGGTTCAACTAATTAACTTACTATACTAGACCGGTTCAAGAAAGGTACGCATGAGTGAATCGTCCCATCTTGGGAAATTGTGGGTGCGCGCAGTGATCAGTGCAGGCTGCAAAGTGAAGGGCCAAGGCCGAGTTCTCACCTCCGCCAGGCATTGGTAAATTGGTCGAATAAACTCGCATGCTCTTTCCCCCGAAACGGCTCCATTAGCACTGTCACCGCTTTAACAGAGCTCCATCAACCAAGTTGGATATTTTTTCTCTTCTCAATTTGTAATATATTTGAAGCCCTAGTTTGTTTGTTTGTTTGTTGGTAATGTGGTGTTAATTGTCGAGTTTCGTGGTGGTATGAGTTGTAGGTCAGCTTGACGTTTTTGGAGATATCTGAGATACGTAGGTGAATTTTATGCTCATATGAATGTTGTGCTGATAATGAAAGAGTAAATGGCCTCTTCCATTTGACCCTAACTAAGTTGCTGGATGACGTTTTTGAGGATATATATATCTCCCATAGGGTTGTTTTTTGAGTAGACTTGGTTTGAAACCCTAGTTAGGATGGGGGAGGAAGGCAGTGGGAATAATGCTAGTGCAAAGCGGAAGCCAAAGGCTACCGAGATGGAATTTGATTCAGGAGATGATGAGCCGATTGGGTCTCTCTTTAAGTTGAAAGGCAAGAAATATAAGACCAGAGTAGAATTGAGTGGGGTTAGAGATATGGTTATGGGGGCACAGGGCGTGACGAAGAAATATGCAGTCAAGGACGAGGATTTGGCGGGTATGGATGATACATTGGCTAGTTTTTGTAAAAAGTTGAAAGTTCACAAGAAGGAATGTGTGTTGGTGCCTTCTGAAGGAGATAAATTATACTGTGGCACAAAGCTAACGGTCTACTCTCCAACTGCCCTTGTGAAGAATGAATATTTAACTGCAGAGACGTCTTCAAAGGCTGTGGATAAAGAACAGAGGGATGGCTATGTTCTACGCGATGAGGCAGTTAGTAAAGGGCTTGAAAAAGAGGGCAAAAGGAAAAACAAGAGGCCTCATGCTGCGTCTACTACAGGAACAGTTCTTTCTCAGTCTGACCATGCTGATATTTCAGTGGCTCAGGAATCTATAAAGAAAGATTTTAGAAAAACTTCTTGTTCAGATGATATTTTAGAAGAATCATTGTCTGCTTTCTTACGAAGGTCTGAATTGTCAAAGAAATCCCGCAGTCCTTTATATTTGAAACCAGGGAAGGTAATTGATTCATCTGTTAATAACTTAAGCTCTAGTGGCATCTCTGAGGATACCATGTCCATATCAGCAAGGACATCAAATGAATTTGTCCAGGAATTTCCTGGATGTGGTTCACTAGATATGTTTTCAAAGAATGGTTGTACCTTCCACCATGGCGATCCTTCTAAAGCAGTTTCAGAAAATCCAGTTCTCACTTCAATAGACAAAGGTCCTGATCTTGGGTTGCAGGTTTGTAAGATCCGAAGTGTACAATGTGATGAAGTTGATCATTTGACTTCATGTAATCAGGATGGTGTCATACTGGAGGCCCATAACATAATGGAGCATTGTCCTGTCTATTGTCAAGGATTTGCATCTGAGGATAGTTTGGAGGACCCCCCTACCAGAAAATCAGGTCAATGCAATGCTTATGAAAACAAAAAAACAGTTGAGGAAATTTGTGCATTAAAGGGGAACACTAACATCAATTTGGACAACCTGCGGAATGTCCATGCACTAAGTACAGATGACGATGTGCAGTTTTCAGATCTTAAAATGGACACACAGTCTTGTTCTCGTAACGAAGAGTTAAATGGATATGCTGAAAATACATTGCAGAAAATCACTGGAAATGTCAGTGGTGAAACTTTATTGCCTTGTAGTAGCATTTTAGCAGGATCATCTGCAATCAAAGGAAACCCAGATATGTCTCTACAAGATTCTGTCAAACTTGAGTCCAAGACAATTCAAAAAGATCTGGGGCACAATCAGGATCATTCATTGGGTGCTGTTGGTGCCTTATATACACAAGTTACTGCTGATGGTTTTCTGCATTCAGTACAAAATACTATTAATTGTGTGAATGAGCCACTTGCCTCACTATCTTCAGGCAAAAAAGATGCTTCGGCATATAGTGAAATGAAGTCTGAGGATGGTGATGACTCTTATGCTAATTCCAAAGAAGTAGTTCCAAAAAGTTTTGTTACTGCAGCAGAAAAGTGCAATTCTGTGAGCCATCACATCCAATTGCTCGATGAGGTTGGCGGAGGGACATCTTCCCAAAGCCATGATTTTCAAGTTGGACATGAGTTGTATAATCAATCTGCTTCACCTTCAAATACACGCGGAAATGATGAAGTAGAGACAGAGTCGATGCCTGATGAGACTCCTGAAAGTAAGGATGAGAGAGTGATCGGTCGTCAACGTGCTGCAAGAAACACAAAAAGGCGCAGGCATTGGGACATGGCCTATGAGGGGGATGTTGACTGGGAGAATCTTGTGCGCGGGCAAGACTTTTTAATCAGCCATCAAAATGGTGATGCTGGGCAAATCAAACAAAGGGAAAAGCCTGATTATTCTTCATTGCTAATTCTGGATGATGAAAATGGAGGAGCTGCAGCTGTTTCTGTTGGTCTGAAAGCTCGTGCTGTCACTCCAATTGAAAAGATAAAATTTAAGGATGTACTGAGGCGCAAAGGTGGGATTCAAGAATATCTACACTGCAGGTATAGATATGATTTTATTTTTCGACATAATCCAATCATGTTTCTTCAACATAAAGGAGTATGCCTCTATCATGGCTCATGAGCAAGATGTACGTTTATTATCTAGAAAATGGTGAATTCTGACAGGATGTTTTCTATTTATATTATCCAACAAGACTGTTCTAACAAAGTTATGATTTCAGAAGCAACCCAGTTTTTAGAATGTTCTTGGTGCTGCTATAACAATAAGCTCTTGTGTAGATGCACATTTATATTGTGAAACGATGACTTATATATGACTAAAATAAGGATGGTGGGCAAAAAGTGATCTCTTATACGCACTGACTATATTTGTAACTTTTATTGACTATGATTATGTTCAATTGTACTTTGAAGTGACCATGACATTATACTCTTAGTAAGACTAGTAATGCTTGTATCCATAAATTTAATTTAAAGTAATATTTTAGGAAAAATCTCCTTTAATAATGCCATGCGGATATAGAAAAAGATATTCGATATGCTCTTGTGTATTTACATGTTTTTGTTATGTTGAATTTATGCCATGTGTATATAGAAAAAAATATTCGATTCTTTGTCTAGTATACTCATATTTTTTGAAGTAATTTGGGTTTATTTTTCTAATTACTTTTATATTTCTGTTGAATTGCTAGTTTAACATATTGCACATTTGCATGTCACCCAATATAAAATATCAACCATGGTGTATGCATGTAAGTTGTAACTATTCTTTTTGTTAATGAATGTACATAATTCTCTTCATCTTAGAGTGCTGATATTTTCTTGATTGTACTCTTGCTTATGGGGTTTCCTGCGGCTTAAAGTAACCCTGCTTTTGCGGATGCAGGAACCATATTTTGAGCCTTTGGAACAAAGATATTAGTCGCATTTTACCTCTTTCAGAGTGTGGAGTGTGTGATGCCAATTTGGTTGTTGTATCCCCCCTTGCTTCACTAATCAAGGATGTTTATACATTTCTGAATCAATGTGTAAGTGTATATTGTAGTGTTGTTTACTCAACACTTGGAAGTCAGATGAACTCTCTCTTTTCCTTAATTCAGTTCATTAATAATTGCCAATTCAATTTGGTTGTGCTTTTTTTGAAATCTTGTACTACTTGTGAGCAGGGTTATATTAACTTTGGCATTGCTTCCAGAAAGGATATATCTGGAAGTGTCCATGAGCACAACTTGAAAATATCAAAAGAAGAAAAGGTCACCGAAAAATGTGGAGCTTCTATTGCTGAATCAGATGATGGAGTTTCTTTTATCATGGGGCAGCTTAAGAGTTCTGAAATTGTTGCTACAAAGAGTGGTATTTTATCTAACAATGAAAAATGCACAGAAAAGTATGAAAAGGATACACCGACTGTTGATATCCCGACCTCAGAATTGTTGACATCAACAGGACATGAAGGATGTCCTTCTGATGGCTACCGGGGCGATGGTTGTGATTCATTGGTTAGTTCAGATAGTATGATGCCGGACATCTCTGTAAAGGATGATGATGGAAAAGTGCAGCATGTCTTGGATCCAAATCCATTTTCTCCGAATCATGAGGCTAGTAAGACAACTGTCTTGCAATCTGAGTTTTCTAAATGTCCACATGCTTTTGAAACATACACTAAGGATGCCGATAATCAAGTTCTGTGTGATGCCGAAACCAAGAAAGTAATTATAATTGGAGCTGGGCCTGCTGGCTTAACTGCAGCAAGTCATTTGCAGCGCCTAGGTTATCATGTAACTGTGCTTGAGGCAAGGAGCAGAATAGGAGGCCGTGTTTTTACTGACCGTTCTTCTCTCTCTGTCCCAGTCGATGTTGGTGCTAGCATAATTACTGGTATTGAGGCAGATGTTGCGACTGAAAGAAGACCAGATCCTTCTTCCATTATTTGTGCACAATTGGGACTTGAGTTGACTATTCTTAACAGTGATTGCCCTCTCTATGATAGTGTAACTGGTGAGAAAGTTCCTGCACATTTGGATGAAGCACTTGAAGCAGAATACAATAGCTTACTGGATGACATGTTGTTGCTGGTTGCTCAGAAGGGGGAACATGCAGAGAAAATGTCTCTTGAAGATGGCTTAGAATATGCTCTCAAAAGGCGTCGTATGGCTCTTTCTGGAAGAAAGTATTTAGGTAGCAAACACAATTCTTTGGATACTGTGACAAATAGTATGATGCTTTCTGATTCTGATGAAGTTTGTGACACTCATTATCCTAAAGGTGATGTTCTGAGCCCTCTCGAGAGAAGGGTTATGAATTGGCATTTCGCAAACTTGGAATATGGGTGCGCTGCATTGCTCAACGAAGTCTCTCTACCTCATTGGAATCAAGATGATGTGTACGGAGGTTTCGGAGGAGCTCACTGCATGATTAAAGGGGGTTATAGCACTGTTGTTGAATCACTTGCAAAAGGCCTTCAAATACACTTGAATCACGTCGTAACTGATATTGTGTATGAGATGGAGGGGAGTGCAACCCGTGATACATTGATCAACAAGGTCAAGATTTCCACATCCAATGGAAAAGAGTTCTCTGGGGATGCAGTCCTGATTACGGTACCACTTGGGTGTCTTAAGGCAGGAGCAATTAGCTTTACGCCTCCCCTGCCCCATTGGAAATCTTTGTCAATTCAACGGCTTGGATTTGGTGTTCTTAATAAAGTGGTTTTGGAGTTTCCTGAAGTGTTTTGGGATGACTCAGTTGATTATTTTGGTGCAACTGCTGAACAAACAGACCTGAGAGGACAGTGCTTCATGTTCTGGAACATTAAAAAAACTGTTGGTGCACCTGTTTTAATAGCCTTGGTGGTTGGAAAAGCTGCTGTAGATGGCCAACATATTAGCTCATCTGATCATGTGAACCATGCTGTAATGGTTCTTCGCAAACTATTTGGTGAAAGCATGGTACCTGATCCAGTAGCTTCTGTGGTGACAGATTGGGGAAGGGACCCATACAGCTATGGGGCTTACTCTTATGTCGCTGTGGGGTCATCTGGAGAAGATTATGACATATTAGGGAGGCCTGTTGGGAACTGCCTTTTTTTTGCTGGTGAAGCTACCTGCAAAGAGCATCCTGATACTGTTGGTGGTGCAATGATGAGCGGGCTTCGGGAGGCTGTGCGTATTGTTGACATATTGACGACAGGTACTGATTTCACTGCAGCGCTGGAGGCCATGGATGATGCAAACAGACATTTGGATGTTGAAGAGAGTGAAATTGGAGACATCACAAAGAGACTTGATGCAGTAGACCTTTCAAATGTCATGTGTAAGAAATCTTTAGATGGTACCCAGATTCTAACCAGGGATTTGCTGTGGGACATGTTTTATAATGCTAAAACAACAGCTGGAAGATTACATTTGCTCAAGGAATTGTTGAATCTTCCTGTGGACATTCTAAAATCATTTGCTGGAACCAAAGAAGGTCTCATCACACTTAATTCGTGGATATTGGTATGTTGTTCCTTCCCACCAACGATTCCCACTTCACTTTTTGGATATTGCACCATGACAAAGAAATCTCTAATTTGATTTGTTCTCGTCTACAGGATTCTCTAGGAAAAGATGGGACTCAGCTCTTGCGCCATTGTGTTCGTCTACTTGTACTTGTTTCAACTGATTTAGTTGCTGTGCGTTTATCTGGTATATACTTCTATCGCTCTGCTATGCATATCCATTTAATTTATGCTGCTCTAACTGCAATTTTCTAGTGTATTGTTTGACTGGCTCACTTATTTTGTTGGACACCCTTTTCTGCTATACTTTTACTTTTTTTTGTTGCATGTAATTTCCTTTTCATTTCTTTTGACTTTTTTTATTGACTTCACGTAGGCATTGGGAAAACTGTAAAAGAAAAAGTGTGTGTGCATACAAGCCGTGATATTCGTGCTATAGCAAGCCAACTTGTAAATGTGTGGATAGAAATATTTAGAAAGGAGAAGGCTTCCAATGGTCTAAAGCTGTTGAGGCAATCAACTATTTCTCACCCACCGAAGAGCAAAACTGGTATTGCATCTGGAAAACCTCCTTTACGTACAACCTGCATGACTCCCGAAAGCAAACGAAGCTTGGGAATTGTAACTGCTGCTGGAAGCCAAGCACACTTGAATTCGAACAATAGAAAAGTGGAGCTAAAGCCATCAAAGTTGGAAGGTGCGGCTGACTCGAAATCAGATGTTGAACCACCAAGCTCTCAAGGTTCGGTAGAAAGGCAAAATACGACAGTTATTGGAAGCCAGAATTTCCCATTGTCTGATGAGGAAAAGAATGCTATTGCTGCCGCAGAAGCAGCTCGTACTGCTGCTCGTGCAGCTGCTGAGGTTTGTCTTTGTTATCTCCCTTTGGTACATTTATAAGCAATTACTGAATAAGCAATTAAATTAAAGAATTGTTACTGACAGTCTGAAAGTGATCTCAATTGTGCTATGGAGCCGTTTTAGCACGCAGTGCACCGAGAACCTTTGTATTGGAGCAGTTTGCTCTAGCGGCAATAGCAGGCGCAGGGTGCTATTATGTTATAGTGGGTATAATAGCGGCTGTGGCGGGCTCAATAGCACTGCTATAATTTGCTTGGCTTTTCTACTCTCAAATTTGGGAGTAATTTGGGCATTTTGGGGATATAAAGGTTTGTAAGGGGTAAAGTAGTCTTTTAGAGTAAAAGCGTACTTTTCACATGATAACTCCTCCAAGGATTCTAAGAACATCTCATCTCCTATCGTTTCTCTTCATGATCTGTGGACACTCTTTGACAACCTTCTATTGGTGTTCTAAAACCTTACGACCCAGTCTCCCAGCCCTTTGACTACACAACTCTTTGACAACCCTCTGCGCTTCTTTGACAGCCTTTTTATGAGCCTTTGATGATCCACAGTCCACACTGACAACTTTTTTAGTTTGGATGATGGATACTCAAAAAGGATACAAGCTAGTCTCTTTGACTGGCTTGTTTAAGCCCACCAGTTTAATTGATCCTGCTTAGGAGTGGAATAGGTTGAATTAATTAAAAGACAAGAAAAGTGCTACCTGGGGTTGTTGTGGCAAAACAACCACAGCAGGAATTACTGGAGGCAAAAGGCACCAAAATACCAAATGGGAATAAGTGTATATGAAGGACTAGAGATCATGAAGTTTGAGGCTATTTATTTGGTAATTAGACCCATTTAGCAATTATGAATGTCATTAAGTTTTAGACTTCTAGTAATATTTATCATATTTGGATTTGATATACGTGTGTTACATAAACATATGCAATGATGCATACACATAATTACGTCTTCTGCATATGAATTGTTTGAATAGCGATCATCCCACTATACTACTATATCGTTTTCAGTGTAGATTGCAGACTGCTATGCTCTGTTATCAGGGATTGACAACATCAGCTAACGGCATATTTTCCAATTGCCTCTGGAAAAATGTTCTACTCATATTTGCTTTCAGCATCATTATCATTACAATTGATCAGGTTATCATTTTAGGAAGTTATTTTTATACTTAATTTTAACATAAAACACAATTCAGACTAAAAAAATCACCACAGAAGTATTAGAAACGACTTTCAAATTTGGGTGATAGAATCCATTCTTTTAATTTCAAAATTGAAACATAGCATTTAAATGAAGCACTGGTCCTGGTTTTCTCATTACTTATAAAATCCTAGATACACTAATGAGAAATGTGAGTACTGATGGGGGCTGCTGGCTGAGACTGCACGACTGTGCGACACAAGTGAAACAAAAATGAGAAGGAGCATTAGGTTTGCAATGAGGGTAATGCTTCAGATGCTTCTCATGATATAGCTGCTTGAAAGGACGTGGAAAACTGGAGAACTCTAGTGTATTGGAAGGATATTTTGTGTTATTTTAATTACTACTACAGTACTACTAGTCTACTACTATTGCCATTATTATTAGTTTCAGTTATTAGTATTAGTTTCCTATTATCATTACTATTTTTTATGTTATTATCACCATTATTATTACTCCCTCCGTCCCAAAAACAACTTCCCACTTTCCTTAAATGGATGTCCCAAAATTAACTTCACACTTCAATACTTTCCTTATTTGGCAAATTATCTACATCAAAAAAGTGATAAACAGTGTCAAACAGTGTTTAAACAGTGTCAAACAGTGCCAAACAGTGTCAAACAGTGCCAAACAGTGTCAAACAGTGCCAAACAGTGTCAACAGTGCCAAACAGTGTTTAAACAGTGCAAAACAGTGCACTCTACAGTAAAGCCAAATTTATTTTCTAAAAGTGTGTGAAAGTCAAACCGGGAGGTTGTTTTCGGGACGGAGGGAGTACTTTATTAGTATTAGTATTAGTAGTAGTAGCATCATATTAGTATAGGTATTCTATTTTAGGTAATATTCCTAATGGCATTACTTTATTACGTTTTGGCTTACCCCAAATTGGTCCACGAAAACTCATCATCATCACTACCCCAATGCCGCAAAGGCTCCACCTACAGTGGGGTGGGGGGGGGTGTCAAATGTACGCAACCTTACCTCTGTACTAAAGCACAGAGAGACTGTTTCCGGAACTAAAATAAATAGAGGTCCACCGAAACTCTTGGAACTAAAATAAATAGAGGTGTTCTATTTATTAATAATATGATCAATAATTTTGGAATCTTGGCATGGTCGGACGCCAATTTCTCATGCGTAGGGTGGATAAGTTATTCATCTTTATTTATTTCAATCTTTTTCTTTGCATTTCCCAGCCGTGGCCATAAAAGGTAAGTGCCTCTTTTGTACATCTTTAGACAATTGTGAAATTTCTGCCCCATTTTATCTTTCGTGGTATTTTTTTTCATTATCTACTTGGGAGTATGAACAAGGTGAAAAATGCCAACAGTTGGGGTGGTGGGGAGTGAGGACAAGGTTTTAAAAAGCTAAGATGGTCTTCAAGGTATTTTACTTTAGCCTCTTAATGCGTAAGCCTCATAAGCAGAACATACTTAAGAAAATCATATAGTTCATTTGAATAAAGTTAAAGCATTTGTCTCACATCGGAAAGCTATAAAACAATTAAACACTATATAAGGATTTGGGCTACTTCTCCTATCAGGGTTGACCTTTTAGGATGGAACCACAGGTCTTAACATGCTATCGGAGCCAATTCCGCTCGTGGTTTGACAGCTTGTTTAGCACTCATGATTAATGGTAGCTTGTTAAGAGTTTGTTTGGCCCGTTTATACACCCCGATATTGTCCAGCCCGGTTCGGGCTGAGGGGGCGTGTTAAAGCATTTGTCTTACACCGGAAAGCTATAAAACAATTAAACACTATATAAGACTTTGGGTTACTCCTCCTATCAGGTTGACCTTTTAGGATGGAACCACGGGTCTTAACAAATAATAAGTAATAATACGTTATTAACACTATAACTGCTTAATAAATACATATGAAACATGTAAGTCAATTCATCAACACAGAAGCAAGGATGAACAAGAAGAAGCTCCACTCACGTAGATAATATAGCGGGCAAGTAAAATCATAGAGAAAAAAGCAGACTGGTAGAGTCCGTATAGAACAAAAGAAACACTTGTGTAGGGAACATATAGCAAGCGTTTTCTTTTCATACCCAGAATGCAACCACCAAGGTGGCGGGTTAAGGGCATGGCACCCCTTACCAGTTTTATTAACAAATTCAAAGGTACAGTGGTGGTGGTGGTGGTGGTGGTGGGGGGGGGGGGGGGGGGTTATTGAGACACAAGGCCAACACTTCCAAGGAGACATTCCCCCAACGATACAATAATCGAAACAAGGGTCAAGGGAAAGGGATCCTAATACAAGAAAGGCTCAGCCAATTATATAACTTGAATATGGCTGGGAATAAGGGCTTCAACTGAACACAACGATTTAACAACAAGGGGTGATGATCCTTATCAATATTAGACTTTGAATAAATATCTATCCTCTAATGCGCCTAAGATCAGCTTCCTAGTCCAAAGGTGATAGATTAATCCAATATTCCAGAACAGTTTTGTATATTAATGACGTGAACTGAGATGAATTATCAGAGTTCTTGGGGAATTACAGTAGAAAAGTAGAACAGAAAGATAGATATAGAGAGATTACAGTAACTTTCTCTCTCTAGCCCAGCCCCACCCAATTCTAACTGAATTCTTGCCTACCCACATCAATCCCGTCACCCGCTAATATATTCCCTTCTGTTCTTATGAGGTTACCACCTCATTTAATTAATTCCGGGCCCTTATTTCTTACATACACTTTGTTAAAATATCTATTGCCAGCACTATCCCTTCCTCTATCAAAAGGATGGGCTTAAAAACCTACCAATCACCCTCCTACCTTTCTAATCTCAAACAAGTTACTTAATGGAAAAGGATGTCTGCCTTAAAATTAGTAGCATACTGCTCATTTTAATTGCTGATGCTCTGGACTGTATATTCCAAATATTCTCATTTTCTTCAGTCTAAGTTGTATCCTTGGCTTTCCTTTTGAACTCTTCATACCTCAGGCTTCCGGTCTTCTGCTTCGTGACCTTCTTTAGTGATTTAATGAGCTAATGTGTTGCATTCTCTGTACACATACTGAAATTGAACCTGTAGACAATGTTTAAAATTGCGCAATAGTATCCCGCCTTGAGACGCGCCTTGCTGATTGTTGGCCAAACTGCAATGAAAGGCGTATCCTAATTGACGCCATAGAAAAGCATACACCTTTTGGGGAGAGGGTACGTTGTAAGGTGGCGCAATAAGCGAAGGGGAAATCGTATGCAAAAGAAGGGCGTCGATTAAATGAATTAATTGAGCCAATAATTACTTCAATAATTGAAAAAATCTGCTCTTCCCATCTCCTGCTCTATCTCTCGCCTCTGGTATTTGTCTCTGTGCCTCGCCAGTCGCCAGCCACTCTGCCAAACTTGTTGATCGTTTTTCCTTTGACTCTTGCAAGGTAGCTCTGTCGCAAGTCACCCAAGCTATCCAATGTCTCAGTTGTAGGTTTACAAAGACTTTGTTATTTATTCAACTTCTTTAAGTATGTGGAAATCATTAAGCCTTTTGTTTTATTAATGTTTTCCTTTACATGTCATGCTTTTGTTGGTAAATTCTGGTATGTCAGAAGTTTATATTGCTGGTATAGTGGTATGTCGTAAGTTTCTTTAAATGAGGGTAATTTTAATTGTGTAATTTTAAATTTAATTATATTAAATATACACACACATAATTACTGAATTACATTAGAAACATTAAAGTATATGATGATAATAATAATTTGCACTTATAATTCACTTTATCATTCATGATTCTTATAAACTTTGAACGTTACCTTAAATAATTTGTATGACGTCACGTGTGAACTCACAAATTCCATTACTTTATGACATTATTGTTTGTTTGTTTACGAAATTCGTTGTTTTGGATTAATATTTACTTCTTATTTCAAATTTTTTATTTACACAAATTTCCTACAAATTAATATTTACGTCTCATCTTTACGCCTCAATGCGCCGTGAGTCTTATGCAATACACGGTACCCCAAAACCTCCTCATAAACGCAATACGCGATTTCGAACATTGCCTGTAGATTAGCACATATATATGTGTGTTCAAAATAAATGACCCATGGACCACAGCCATGATTAATATACTCAATGACTTCCTTTGCAGTCAGATTCCATAATAGCACAGCTATTACACCTTTACATTTGTTTACAGAAACCAAGAAGGACCCTACCATTATTATCTCTAATAACTTTTACAATGGCACAGCTTTCTTTCAGATAACTACCATCAGTGCAAAGTCCTCGGGGTTTTAGTGGGTTAAGTTGTTCTTAATCTAACTAAAGCCATTCTTAATCATTTGAGCAAAACTCACATGCACTTAAACTTTTTGCATGTAAAATGATCTATCTTTGCATAATATTAGTGGCGTATGCCTCACCTGGGTGTGGCTTAAATTACCTATGATAGGAAGTAGTGGAAAGCCTCATGGCAATTTCTTATGGCTTCTCTTCAATATTTTTTATAACTACAAATGGTGGTATTATCTTAAGAAAATGAAGGACTTCGTTCATCCCTGATGCAACTGAAAAATGAAACAATCTACTCTAGTTACATATTTGTAATGTGGTTTTCTCACTGCATGAGTAAGTTTTCTTGCTGATCATAATTACTGTTATCATTTCATCAGGCTTATGCTTCTTCTGGTGCCAAGTATAATACAACATTGCTGCTTCCAAAGATACCATCATTTCACAAATTTGCTAGGCGGGAACAATATCCAACAATGGATGAGTCTGATATCAGAAGGAATTGGTCTGGTGGTGCCTTAGGAAAGCCAGATTGCTTATCTGAAATTGATTCTAGGAATTGCAGAGTACGGGATTGGTCTGTTGATTTTTCTGTAGCTGGCGTCAACCTTGATGCTTCCAGAATGTCTATAGACAATCGTTCACAGCATAGTCTCTCAAATGATAATAATGCATGCCAGTTCAACTTCAGAGAGCACTCTGGAGAAAGTGCTCCTGTGGACAGCAGCATATTAACTAGAGCATGGGTTGATAGTTCAGATAGTCTAGGAAAGGATTACAATGCAATTGAGATGTGGCAATGTCAAGCAGCAGCAGCTAATTCAGATTTCTATGGCCGGACGTTGCAAGTGGTGGATGAGGAAGATTCGAACATGAGCTCAAAAATACCTACAGAAAAGCATGATGTGCTGGCTAATGAGAGCTCTGCTTCTCACGTTACAGTAACTAAGGCAAGACACAATCAACCAAGAGGAGCGGAAAAAATTAAGCAGGCTATTGTGGATTATGTTGCATCTTTATTGATGCCTCTTTATAAAGCTAGAAAGATTGACCGAGAAGGCTACAAGTCGATAATGAAGAAAACTGCCACCAAGGTCGTCCTTATTCTTTCTGTTTTCAGTCAAAACAGTCTATCAATTTCTCTTACACAATTTTGATTCTTTTCCAACCCTTTGTTCTTTGTTTAGGTCATGGAGCAGGCCACAGATGCAGAAAAGGCAATGACAGTTGAGGAGTTTCTAGATTTTAAACGGAAAAACAAGGTGCTGATATATTATATCTTCCAATAAATGATGGTCCTAAAAATTATTCTTTTTTTGTTATATACATGTGGTAGAAATTTCATGCTTTGAATTGTGTATGTGGGAGATAATGTTGATGGGAGAAGGTTGAGGACTCTTTTTGTTTGTAACAAAAAAAGAATTCCAGTTCATATTTATGCTTATGCCAGTTTACTTCTAATTCAGTTTAGTGCAAGTATTCTTGATTGTCTTTGTTGGTAAATACGCAGATCCGAGCCTTCGTGGACACATTGATCGAGAGGAATATGGCCATGAAAACGGGAGCAAAATCACGAGCAGCCTGATGGCCAATCTTAAATTTTGGTGCTTATGCAAGTATGCAAGATGAAGAAAGTTATCTTCTATGCCTCATGCAAGAAGATTTTTCCTTCATAGATAGCATCACAGGTCAACGTGACGGGTTTCAAGGAACCTGCCAGTTTGTGTTAGTAATCATTAGCCCTGATTGTTTGTCCTCCATGTATATATGCACAACATGGACAAGAAACAGCTCTTTTGAGGTGGCAAAGGCCCCATCGATCATCTGGCAGACTGTGAAGTATATTCAACTCATTTTGTTGTTGTGCCTGTTAGGCACCTGGAGGAATGGTGCTTCTCGTCAATTGATCTTGGAAATTGTTGGTCAGGGTGTTGAACCTAAATATTGTATCTTTTAGCTTTAGGAAAGAAAGAGGAGCCCTGAAATTTTCTTTTTGAGATTTCACGATAGATTAAAACTGACTTGTTTTCTGACACTTCATTTAGTCATGAGATTGTACAGCTTAGGACCATTATCATGAGTTCAAATATACAAAAGTTTATTCTTGGTCTTTCAAGTCTACTATTATTCACAAGCTGCCTTAATATATTGAAACATATAAATTCATTTTTGTTTGTGTTTCGCATTAGTTTCAACATTATCTCTCTTAGTGTTCATTGGTACGACATTAAGGTCTCCTATGCATAAGAATGAATGTACTAGTGCTGTAAACAAGAACTGAAATGATTGGAAGAGACGAAGAATGCATGTTGTCACCACAATATCTTTCATTTCCGGTTCATTTGTAAGATACTTCTTCTCATTGATATAGTTTTTTGACAAACTTCCATATGCAACTTAAGTTTTAAAATAAAGTATATGCAAATGCAAATGATTGAATGCGGAGTTCTACAAGCCAATTGCATTAATGATTCAAAATCTCAAGTGCAAGTTAGATTTGCCACCTGAAATTTAAATCTATATCTTTTGCAGGTGAAGATCACTTCTCTCATGGACACCATATTTCAGCCTTAATCAGTGAGTTTTCTTCTTTAGTTCAAGAGATTAACTTTTCTCCCTAAACTATTCATGCTTTGCATGATCTAAAACTGCACAAGATTGTTACAAGTGTGGATTATGATTTTGTTCTTCAGCTGCATAAAAATGTGTCAATACTGCTTTTTGCGGCATGAAGTACTCCTCACATAACTAATTAAGAAGGAAACACACAATAAGAGTAGGAAAGAAACTAAATAATTAGAAATCTTGAGGTGCAACCCGAAAGATAGGTTTACTATCAATCAAGAACCTGAAAGATGAAAATTGTTGATATAAGGCCCATATGATTGAAAACTATCAATGGAAGACCTTTTTTTTGTTTTATTTTAATTTTTTTTAAATATTATTCAATTTTTATTAAACTAAGAAACTTTTGTGAAGAGTAATTAATAAAAAAATAGTAATAAAATAAATAGAAATTAAAGAAATCAAAATCTGTTTATAAATTAGGTCTTAAATTGATAGTATTCAATCATTCGAGTCCTATGTCGACAATTTTCATCTTTCAGGTTCTTGATTTATAGTTAGCCTATCATTCAGGTCCCGGATTAGTAAATTTCCACAATGTTCTTATTTTATAGTGTGGGTGTTTGTTGATCTGCTATTTTTGGGTTAGGTAAGTGGTAACTGAAAATTAGAATGTATGATGTGATGGAGAGTTTAAAGCCAAATGCGCTATTGTGATACAGATGGAATTGTGAGCTCTCATTTTGTGGACAAAATTGGAAACTTAGAAGTCACTAGAGGTCTCCAACTGATAGGATCCTGGGCTGGGCTAAAGAGAATAATAATAATAATAGTAGTAGTAGTAGTAACAGAATGATATTAAATAATTGTGGTATTGTATTCTGGGAGAGTGAGGCCTCTCGAAGCGCCTTGTCTGTATCTTCTTCTTCCTTTCTGCACTTTACCTCACTAATAGTCGATATACTGTTACGAATTTGGAGTTTGTATCACCAACATGCTGCCTTATATCAATGATCCGCGTCAATGTTTCCGGGTGCTGGTAACTGCTAGCATAAAAAATTGATACTCCTGTTTTTTGTTGACTATAATATGCGTAAAGGAATCAGTAGGAATCATTAATGACAAACAGAGTATGGTTAATCCAAAGATTATATATGATTCAGCATGTACAGTTTGCTTTGAGATTGTGCTGGAGAGATTACATGGTCATTAGTTAATTAATTCAGAAACTTTAAGTTATTAAGTGTTCATTTGAACTCTGTCCATGTTGTTCAAAGAAACAGACACACTTGTCTAAATTAGCTCCTCACTCCATTTTCACTCGTCCCATAAGCGTCTTTTCTATTTCCTATTCCAATAAATTTCAACCACACATACTCATTTTCTATATAAGCATGTTTAAAGCAAATGAGAACCTAATTTGTGAATGGAGGGAATACTAAGTTGCAACTAGTCCATCTGGATTTCTTTGACATTTGTTGGATTTCCTAAATGAGTAGGACTTTGAGTTTATACTAAGAGGAAATTGGAGTTTGTACCCCATCTTTTTAAATTTGGTACGGTGGTACCCCGTTTTCGGAATCATTATTATGGATAAACAATAGGGTGCAAAGTCCAATCCCTCCTTAAACTATTTATGACTTGCCTTTTTTTGAAAAGTTATCAAGATAAATCAATATTTGCTAAAATGTAATTTAACCACCCAATTCATTCCTTAATAGACATATTTGAGACCTTTGAATTCGAAGGATTAAAAATGTTATGTTTTATGCCATTGAGTAATGAAGATTTTTATAGAAAAAGCTGCCATTTGATACTCCCTGCTCTTATTTTAATCTCAACACTTGACATTTGCACTATCTATAGTTTAACTACCCTACTTTGATAACATTTTTTTTATCATTGTATAATAGTAAATCATACTATGGGAGATTTTAGTAAATTTCTATTGTTGTATATTTAAATTTTAACTTTTCATAGTTTTTATTAAACACACTTGACTATATTAATAGCCAAAGTCGTACGTTTGGATATGTGAAAGTCAAACTATTGTAACTAAAAAAGAACTGAGGTTAGCACATAGTATTTCTAGATTATAAAAAAACTATAATCATATAAAATATTCGTGAGAAAAGAAGATATAAGAAAATCAAGGAGGAAAAAATTGCTCCAAAATTCTCCAAATTGAGGGAGTAAGGAACCCCAGTTTGGGGGAGTTAGATATAACAAGTTTGGAGGTAGTGCTCCTCCACCCGCTCTCTTTCTCTCTTCTTAAACTTCCCCTACCAAACACACCATATTACTCCATTTCCCTTTCCCCCAAAATCGTCCAACCAAATGAAGGCTTAAAAGTAGTTACCCATTTATCCATATTTATATTAAAAGTTCTCAGGTTTTATCAATAGACTTCTTGACAAGGAACACAAAGCGTATTATGCTTGCCATGCTCTATGGCTCTATGGTCTCCGGCAATATGATTATACAGCTCATTGATTTATGGTAAGAGGCTGATTGCTGTGATTTATAATTTTTTTTTTCCGGCTGCAGATGGGAGCTTATCTGTATAAATTTCATAAACAAATTTATTTTAGCTCTGTTGAATTAACTTGGTTTTGAGGTATATACGAAATAAATCGTATTATTTGCGGTCCCAATGTTGGCTCAATTTAAATAATGGTAGGTTGTGACTTGTGAGACCAAATGGAGCAGGATCGCCATCCCCAACATTCTACTGCTTGTCTTGTCTTATTTAATTTTCGTTACTTCAGTTTCCCCCCCAATTAAATTGATTTCTGTCTTGTTCTGTTGGATATAAGATTAAAGTGTTTAATAACTCACTTAACCAAAAGCTTCTACTGTGGTTTTGAGTTATCTAATAATTTATGTACTTTTTTTGTTCATCCAGTGACCTCATATATAACACGTCGTATATACTACCTCCATATTTAAAAGTTCACTGCAATAGGTTTTGGCACGTTAATTAAGGATGAAACAGTAGGGGTAATGAATAGTGTAGAAAAGTAGAAGAGACAGTGAAAAAATATAAAAGAGAAGATAAAACGTAGAAAAAGTAAGGGTAATTGAGTATTTTTAAAGGAAAAACTTACCAAAAAAGAAAGTGTTGTAAACTTTTAAATACATCCAAAAAAAGGAAAACGTAGGAAACTTTAAAATAAGGAGATACTCCGTAGTAATTTGTATACGGTCAATGGATGAGTTGAGAAATACATAAATCAATTGACAATTTCAAACTGTAGTAGACGCCTTTGTTTAAGTCAACACTTTATTCTTATTGTCAACAGAACACAGCAAACTGACTGATATATGTGCGTGCGTCACAGTTCAAGGCAAAAACAATACATGTGCAAGTGTGTGTTTTCATGGGAGGGTTCCTGTGAAAACACCTCTTTTCATGAGCACATCTGTATAAACGTTTATCTTCACCTTTCATTTTTATTTTTATTTTTTATCAATGACTAATTTTTGTCATTGTTTTAGAGTTATTGCCCCAACGTAGGCGAGCCTTTGCGGCATTGAGGTAATGCTGTTGTTGTGGTTGTTTGTTTTAGAGTTATTGCAGAGCAGCGCTCGTTCGAGTTCAGCAGATTTTACAAATAAATGCTATTTTATGAGCGTTAAACATTCATTACCAAATGATTGAAAATATTCATAATGAGATATGCTTATCACAAGAATCTCCCCACTCACACATATATCTCGCTGTGATAGTCTTTGGATGTGTTGATTGATGCAGAGCTTTTTTCAGAACTGTGTGCCCACACAAGTGTGAGGGGATGATGGTTTGAGCGTGTATTAAAATTGAACAGGTTATGTGCTTCGCATTTACAAGTATGTCGATTTTCTCTCTTTCCGGCCTTTGCCAAGTTGTCACTGCATTTAATCCCATTAGCCTGAACAATTTTTTCGTTATACGAAGACGACCGAGTGTTTTTGTGGTTCTATTCCAAACTGCAGGTTTGTATTATGTCTAGTATGCATTGTAGCATCAAGTAGTTAATGTTTTCTTCCACCTTAATTGATTTGCCTTGTTTACTTCTGTGCTCGAAAGAAAGGGGTGTAGTTAAGGAGAAATATACAGAGAAGCTAATGACTCTGAAAGGGTGGAATAATTGAGAGTGTTTTGGTCAGATCCACACATTCCCTAAGTGCTCTTTCTCATCTCGCGTCATTTTTGATGAGTAAAATCCTGAAATAGGACTATAACATTGATTAAGTGCACATATAATACCACCATTGTTTACTTCCTAATCCTAAAATAAAACTCATGGACTCCTCCTAATCGATGAAGTTTTATTCTTTTAATAGGATCAAATAAGTCATGTTTAGAGAAAATTGTAAATATGGTCATATTTATGCATTTTTGATTTAATTTTAATCCTATTTAGAGCAATTACTATTTTTGATACTGTAATGTACTTAATTAATGCTAGACTGCTAAGTGTGCCTATTCCCCCACATTATTTACCTACCCACATTATTTACATTTCTTAGAACCATTGCAATTTCCCAGTAAACGTTATTGTGGCCTAATGGTAAGGATAATCCGATCTTTCACGAGTTGGTTTTTGAATTATAAAAAA